ATCGAGTGGCTATACACGGGGTGATTCTATTTTCTAGAAGGGTCTATTCCTTTGAGATAGGATAGACCTGGTTACCTGATATACTTGGAAGTATAAAAGCACCTTGTACTGATCGATAGTGGAACCTTTTCTCGAAACATTCGATCCTGTGACACTTGGTAATCAGAGCTTTTCTCACTCGGTCACGCTCAGCTAAGCAGCAGCAGCGGGACTCATGCCTCGAAAAACCGCCGGGGGCGACCAATTCGACGCCGATTCTGGTAAGCACCAGCTCCGCGTTTTTTCGAATTACCCCCTCCGCGCGTGTTTTGAACAGGATGGCAAACTTCGACAACGCAGAAGTTACCCATCAGCTCTTCGCAAGCATCGCCGCCCTACAGGAGGAGATGCGAGCCAACCGCGAAGCTTGGCGACAAGAGTTCGAGCGAGTAACTCGACTCACCAGCGCGCAACACGAAACGACAACGGCGACGACGCAACAGTCACAACAGTTTCTCAAGGCTCCGAAGCCGCGCCCACCTGAGCCGTTCGATCCGAGCGATCGAAACTCCGACGTCCGCAGATGGATCGCCGGCATGGAGATATACTTCGCAGCCGTCGGATGAAGCTCGCCAGTCTGGGACGGTCAACACGTACGACGCGCGGCGACACTGATGCGGGGACCGGCAATCGAGTGGATCGGCGGTAACAGCACCTTCATCTACGGCGAAGCCACGAGGCAGAACTTCCGCACCGACCTGCTGAGACGTTTCGAGCCGATAAATTCGGGTTTCCTCGCCCGGGAAAAAAAACATCGCCATCGACAGTTCGGGAGTGTAGCACAATACACGCAGCAGATGGAAGAATTGTATAACCGTATTCCCGATCTGACTGAAGGGGAAAAAGTACAGTCGTCTGGTAATGCCGTTCGGACTCACCAACGCACCTGCAACGTACTACCACCAGCGGACGAACCACCTCCACCACCACCTCCACCCCCTCCTCCACTACCCCCGCTGCGCCCAGCCTTGGGGTGGCGAGACTTACCATAATGAGACTGCGCTGCTGCCACCGTGGCAGCGGTCTCAGCAGCAGAGGCTGTCTCAGCTACAGCCGCAGAACCGTCAGAGTAAGTGCACTAGGCGGGAGCACAACCCTGAAAGATAGAGACCCGCACAGAACCGCTAGACTGGGCGATAGAGCGCTGACGAGTCTCTATGGCAGATAGGGTGTCGACAAAGTCGGAGAGGGTGAGGTCAGCGGGGTGCAAACTAAGAAAGTGGTCGCGGTCAGTGGCAAGGCGGTCGGAGAGGCGGGTGGCAAGCAGGTAAAGAGTAGAGTGGATAGAGGGTTTGAACACATGAAGCTAGGCCTCAGTACAGGCAGCGCGCCAGCGAGCGTCGAGCGTGCGCAGGTGCGTGGCCAGGTCAGCGACAGTGGGGAAAGATGCGAGATCAGAGAAGAGCATGGGAATGATTAGGCGGCCGGCAGATGCAGAGGATGGGGTGGAATAACACGCGGCAACAGCCTCTAGGAACTCCAGCACATTCCTGACCGACATAGTAAAGCGGGGGCTCTCCGACACAGGTATGGCATGGCTAATCGCAAGCTGGGCGCCATCGTCAGGCGATAGCCAGACAGCATGGGCAAGGGCAGCAGCGGCGGCGGACTCACGGTCAGCAGTCGTAGGGTCAGCGGTGAGAGCAACAGGGGGGTCAGGGCAGGGGAGCGTACTGTCGATGTGGACGGCCTGGGAGTGACCGTCCTGCCGCTGACCAATGAGGTGACGGCGGAGATCGACAAGCAGGGAGTCGAACTCAATCTGCTGACCCTCCGCGTCAAAGCGCAGCACCGAGTTCGCCATGAGGGCCGCTGCAACCGCGAATAGACAGCGATGGAGTGACAAGGAACGGTGGGAAGGAGTACTGTACAATAGAGTGCGGGTGGGCACGATGCAGCGCGGTGCAGTGAGGTGGGTCGCGGTGCAGTGCGGTGGGGCGCGATGCAGTGCGGTGCTGGGCGGTGCGGCACGGTGGGGTGCGATGCAGGACAGTAGAGAGGGCAGGTGAAGCAGGCGGGGACCGAGAACTACATCGGCTAAGCAGCTGGGAGACAGGGCCGAGGGGCGGCCGAGTGACGGGGCCTCAGAGCAGCAGGGCGACGGGTCGCGGGTTGGCTGGGCAGCAGGGCCGCGGGGCGGCTGGGCGACGAGGCCGCGCCACGGAGGGGCGGCGGGTCGCGGGGCGGCTGGGCGACGGGGCCGTGAGGCAGCTGGGACAATGGGGCCACGGAGTAGCTGGGAGACGGGGTCGCGGGGCAGCTGGGACAACGGGGCCGCGGGGCGCGGCTGGGCGACAGGGCCGCGGGGCAGCTGGGACGACAGGGCCACGGGGCGGCTGGGCTATGGGGCCAGCGGGGCGGTTAGGCGACGGGGCCACGGGGCGGCTAGGCGACGGGGCGGCTAGGCCGCGGGGCGGCTGGGCGCTAGGCGACGGGGCCGTGGGGCTAGCGGGGCGGCTAGGCGCGACGGGGCGGGGCAACGGGGCCGTGGGTGGCTAGGCGCTAGGTGACGGGGGCCGACGGGGCCACGGGCGGCTAGGAGCTAGGGGAGCGGGGCCGTGGGGGCTAGGCGCTAGGTGACGGGGCCACGGACGGCTAGGCGCTAGGGAACGGGCCTGTGGGGAAGCTAAGAGCTAGGACCTAAGGCGGGAGCGCGGGTGGGCGGGTGGGACCTAACCTACTCATGATACCATCTCAGAGTTAGAAAGAATGACTAGAATGAGAATATACAGGGATATATTGTTTAAGTAGCTCTAGGCTAGGATACTAGGCAGGAACAAGGCCGCCATGAATGTGGCGGCGGGGTTTAGCTAGGAGCTGGACGAGAGTGTCGAGAGAGAAGGGGGTTGATTAGGAAGAGAGAGGAGTACAAGGAGGGTTTGTACCCTCTACAGAAAGGTTCAGTAACAACCTACCAAGCCTATATTAAATTATGACATATAATATTTGAACACACCCCCTAGGCTTGGTAGTGTCAAGCCCACTCACACCCCCACACCCACACCCACACCCACACCCCCTAGCCCAGCACCCCCATTCCCAGCAGGAGACACAACGACTCCAGAAGCGGGCAGCTCCCACGGCCCGTGGGATGGCTATGGCGGCAGCAGCGACATTGACGACAGCGGCGCCGGTGGCGGCGTGCGGCGGCGCCCGGCCCGCGGCAACAGCAACGGCAGCGGCGGCTTGGACGTCAGCGGCTGGTGCAGCGGCCCCCGCCCTCTCGGCGGCATGTCCAGTCACCTCAGCAGTGGGGAGGGCCCGCATGAGGCAGTCGTTGGCTGCAGCAAGGAAGGGGGGGGAAGCAGGGGAAGGAGGGGGAGGGGGGGGGGGGGGGGAGGGGCGCGGGGCGTAGTCCAGAATCACGCCGGCGGCTGCAGAGCGGGCGGCAGGTCCGGCGGCACCATTGACGATGCGCGGCCGGCTGTCGCCCGATGACGCCGCCACGGCAGCCAAAAGACGCCGCCACAGCGCGACGTCGATGCCGCGGCGGCGAGGCGGAGGTGCGACTGTAGCTCGACTAAGCCGCCGCGGCATCTCAGAGAAGTCGTCACGGCGGCACGGAAAGGCAAGGCCGCCACGGCTGCAGGAAAACGAAGGGCCGCCATCAGCGGCACGGTACGAAGTGAAACGTACGACAAGGACGAGGCGGAAGCGTGGAAGGCAGGACCGGAAACGGCCTGCTCTGTTACCATGTTAAAGCAGCTCTAGGCTAGGATACTAGGCAGGAACAAGGCCGCCATGAATGTGGCGGCGGGGTTTAGCTAGGAGCTGGACGAGAGTGTCGAGAGAGAAGGGGGTTGATTAGGAAGAGAGAGGAGTACAAGGAGGGGTTTGTACCCTCTACAGAAAGGTTCAGTAACAACCTACCAAGCCTATATTAAATTATAACTTATATAATTTGAACATATATAGCTAGTGGGTTGTACTCTCGATGGCAAGACCCTATGTAGTCTACTAAACATACACATATGTTTGACACCCCTCGAGCACAAAATTCCCTTTATGTTGAATATATGTGAACATCCACTTAGGGAGTATTCTTATACATTGGGATCTAGAGTTTCGAGTATGTATTGATGAAACAGATGTGCTGGATCTCGTGTGAAGTTTGGGTGAGGGGGAGCGTTGGTTACAACAAAAACGAGAGCATGCACATATACTAACAGTAAAGTACTACACCCAGAAATTTTGACATGTAATGTTTCTTGTAGCAGCCAAATGTAACAATTAAACACAAGTAGTAGCATTAGCACAAGTAAGTCGTAACAATTAGGTTACAATTTAGGCATTTCATGTTTGTTGGTTAGGATATTCTAATGCGTCTCTTAAAGCAAGGGTCTCAAGAATAAAAAAACCAAACCCAAAGGTTTTGGTTTCGAGGGGTCGCGAAAATTGCGAGGTGTGGTGAGTGGTGTTGGGGGGTCGCTGTTACTGTATCGTTCATTTCGCCAACCCGAAACCAAAACCTTTGGATTTGGTTTCGCGCTTCTTGAGATCCTCGCTTTAAGTGTAGCTGTGACGTACCGAGTGCTGATTCGATGTGACTCAGACCGAACCACACACACAAGCACGGTGACTGCTGCGATGCGATTCGCTACGAAGCCCTGTGAGGCTCGACCTGATGACGTCAAGCCACTCATCGCTGTGCCGTACCTCGCCCAAGCTGGTCTGGAAGGCAGGTGAGGCTCGGTTTATCCATTGTTGGCAGTTGAGTGCCCACCCAAGCCACTCTGCTTGCACGGCCGGGCACGTTGAGGGAGAGGGGAGAAGGGTGGAGGGGAGGAGGTGCGGAGAGTACTGTACCACTACTGTAGGAGCTTTGTGCTGCGGAGCTGTTCTAGTGTGTACGGCTCGGCCCTCCCTCCCCTCACCTCACTCACCCTCCCTCGATATTCCCTTTCCCCTTGATTTCACTTGCAGCCTGCCATTACAGTATCAGCTAAGAAAGCCCACCTACCGCATACGAGTGTCTCTGTCAACAAGATAGAAACCGTTGTTAGTGTTGTCTCCAGCCAAACTTGCCGTAGCGCAAATGAGCTAGTCCGTCATCACTCGGTGGATCAAGGGCCGGTACGTTGTACCTCTGCAAGTGTCCTTGCCTGTCTATCCTAAGCTGGTCAGTTCAACCCTGTTGCCACTTATTCTTTGCTGCATTGCTCTCTCTTTCGCGTGTTTTTTGAGCTTATTCCCATTCTCCTGATCCAAGGTACTTCAGTGTGCAATTTTTCCACATCCGCGTCCCGTTTTCGTCTAATGCGAACGCTGTCCCGTTGCTCTCCGTAGGTCTCGGCCCTCACCACCATGCCCAGCAGAGCGACGCCGAAGGCCCCATGCCGACGTTTATCAGACATTAGAAACCACACACGCATCAGCAGCGTCGGCAGCAGAACTAGCTGTAGCAAAGGCGGCTTCGTCCGCGTTATAGAGTGTTTAGAAATCGAGCATCAGCTCACCAGCCGTTGAGAAACCCCGCATGGCCTCTACAGGCCAGGGCGCACCTCCCGGGCCTTCTGGCGGACAGTCAAGGCCTGCGCCACGAAAGCCCACACCGGACGGCGTGGGGGGGGCAGGAACGGCGCGGAAACAGAGCGGTGGCGGAGGTAGCGGAGGCGGCGGAGGCGGTAGTGCAGGGGGCGACCCTAGCCGACCTATCAGCCGACAGCATTCCGCTAGGTCGACAGTCTCTAGTGAGGAATCGGAGGGCGGAGAAGGCTCCACGGTTAGATCAACGGTTGCCAGTGCCGGGGACGGTGGCGGTGCGGCAGGGGTTAAGGCAGACAGTGCTGCCGAGCCGCCTACTCCTAGCGGGAGTAGCAAAGGCGGAGGGGATAGTAAGAAGCCTAAGACTTTCACGAGGCTCCTGTCTAAAAAGGGTGGCACTTCAAGCGGCACCGCTACGAGCACAGGCGGTAGCAGCAGCGGCCGCCATAAAAGCGGATCAGGAATCCCCCATGCGGTCCCCCATGGAGCACCACACCCACCAGCGCCAGCGACAGCGGCGGCGGCGGCATCGGCGGACGCGGCGGCGGCGGGGGGTTACAGCAGCGACGCGTCAGTAGCCAGCAAGTCCTCCGGGAGATCCGCGGGGGTTAAGAGATCGGCGGCTGTGAGCATGGTGCGGCGATCGACGGGCGTGATGCTGGTGATGGATCCGTGGACGGCCAAGATCTTGCACGTGAGCGAGGGGGGGATCACGGCGCTCGGGCACAGCAAGGCGGAGTTAAGGGAGCGGACGATCTGCGACCTGGCGGATGGGCTCACGCTGGTGGAGTGGTCCAAGGCCATTGGGGGACTCGCCAGCCAGGAGGCGAGGAGAGTGGTGCTTAGGTAAGTGTCGGAGTGTACACCGTCACTTTCAGCCTTTCTCGCCCTTTTATTCCCGTTACTAGATCGCTCGGTGGTGTGAACTCCAGTGCCCGTACTGCATGCGCCGATGAGGGCCCTGGGGTGGAACGTGCAACCAATTCAGAGCACTTGGTCGCTCAACACTTCCCTTTTTTTTTCTTTTTTTTCTTCTTCTCTTTCTCTCTTTCTTTCTTTCTTTCCCTTTCTTCCTTTAAATTTCAACTGGCAAAGAAAACCCCACTAGTGTAGGTGCCTTCTAAAGTATCCCGGCCCGTTCCTCCTTCCCACCCCCTCCCTCTCGCACAGGTTCCGTCTGTGCAAGTCGTCGGACCGTAAGGCCCCTCTGCTAGGCCAGAAGGTCGATCTGGAGCTGCAGCTGCACGGCGCAGGCGAGAATAAGGACCTAGTGGGCACTATGACGCTAGCCAACCCGGAACTCACGGCCTCTAGGCACGCTGGTAGCGCTAGTGGCAGTAGCAGTAGCAGTTCCTCTCACCACCATCACCACAAGGAGAAGGGGGCTTCTGGTGGTGGTGCTGCAGGGAAGGACGGCTCGGCTTCTGCTGCCCCTGCTGCTGCTGGTGTTTCAGGTGCGGCTGGGGGGAAGGAGGGAGCAGCGAAAGGGGCGACGACTGCCTCTGGAGCTACTACTGCTGCTGGTGGGGCAAGCTCAGCAGCCAAGCCCAGACGACCTGGGGGTGATAGTAAGCCTGGCAGCGGCAGTGTCAGCAGGAGCGGGAGCGTCGGTGGTGGTGGTGGTGCTGCTCCTTCGGCATCTCAGGCGCCACCGTCCCAGCAAAGGAGAGAGAGAGGGACGGGGAAGGAGAGGCCCGAGGGAGCAGGGAGCACGGCAGCCGATAGTAGTGGCGGCAGTGGGGCTAGCAGCAGCAGTGCCGCCGCCGCCGCAGCAGCAGCAGCAGCACCAGCGACGGCGGCAGAGGCGGCTTCAAGAACAGGGGAAAGCAAAGAGAAGGAGAAGGAAGCCGCGAGGGGGAGCAGAGACAAGGAACGGGAGAGGCGCGCGAGGGAGAAGGACGACAAGGGGAAAGGCGCGGGGAGTAGGGACAAGGAACGAAAGGTGAGGGAGGGTGAGGGGAAGGCGGAGGAGGGAGGGGACAGTACTGCGTCGGAAAGCAGGGAAGGCGAGGCAGCGAGCAGCAGACGCTCTAGCAGCGGGGTGGCAGGAGGAGTAGCAGCAAGTCCGAGAGGGGGAGGGGTAGCAGCAGCAGCAGCAGCAGCAGGGAGCGGGGTTGCAAGTGGGATTAAGAAGGTAGCACCAGTGCGGATACCGTCTGTGGAAAGTAGCAAGGGGAGTGAGGTGGGCACGCCTACCAAGCGGCGCAGCAGCAGCAGCAGCAAGAGAACAGCAGAGCTCAGTGCTGAAGGTGCGGTTAGCAGCCCCAGAACCCCCTCTGGCTCCCGCTCCCGGTTCTCCTCTTCTTCCTCCGTCCCTGCTGCTGCTGCTGCTGCGGCTGGTGCTGGTGCTGGTGCTGGGACAAAGGAAGGAGGCGCAGCGGCCGAAGGGGGCGCGGGGGTGAAGAGGCCGGGAAGACTGGCGAATGCAGGAGGAGCGGGGGTGCGGGGAGAGGAGAGAGCGGAGAGCAGCGTTGGTGCCGGGGTGAAAGGGGCGCAGAAAAGTCAGGGGATGAAAGGGGTAGGCGGAGGGGAAGGGACGGGGGAAGGGGAGGGGGAAGTGGAAGGGGAAGGAGAGTTGGGGATGGGTGCGGAGGAGGATTTGATGGATGACATGTATAGCCCAGTGCATGGGGGGCAGGGGGAGGGTATGGGCATGGACATGGGGATGGGGATGGGGATGGGGATGGGGATGGGGGGCGAGATGGGCATGGGCATGGAAGGGTATGAGGGGGAGGATGGCATGATGCATGATGTGGGGATGGGTGTTGGAGCCATGGGCGCGGATGATGATGAGGATGACGACGACGACGATGATTACGATGATTCCACCATCATGGCTAAGCCACTTAACACGATGGATGGAGGCGGGGGTATGATGGGAGGAGCTGGTGGAGGGCCTATGGGTCCGGGGGGGCATATGGGCATGGGGCCCCATGGGTACATGGGCATGGGGATGGGCGGAGGCATGGGGGGAGGTATGGGGGGAGGCATGGGTATGGGCATGGGTATGGGTATGGATGGAATGGGGATGGGAATGGGCATGGACGCTATGAATATGGGGATGGGTATGGATGGCATGGGCATGGGCATGGGCATGGGCATGGGCGGAATGGGCGGAATGGGCATGGGTATGAACCCAGGGATGATGGGTATGGGGCCAGGAGGCATGAACATGATGGGGGGTGGTATGGGCATGGGTGGAGGGGGGATGGGCATGGGGGTAGGCTTGGTGCCGGGAGGAGTGGGGCCAGCAGGAATGGTAGCAGGTATGGTGGCCGGGATGCCTCTTTCCGGGCCTGCTGGCTTGGCTCGGCAACAACAACAACAGCAGCAGCAGCGGAGGGGGAACTATCGAGAGGAGCAAATGAGCCATGATAGCATAGTCCTAGCCCCTCCATTACAATCTCCCTCCGTTGGAATGGGGATGGGGATGGGGATGGGGATGGGTATGGGTGGCATGGGTATGGGGCAGATGATGGGGGGTGAGGAGGAGGAGCACGTGGATGACGAGGACTTGTATGGTGGCGGTGGGGGAAGGGAGGAAGAGGAGGAGGAGGATGAGGAGGATGGGGGGATAGACCTGTACAGCCCGGCTTCGCGTGCGTCGCGTGCGTCTCGTAGCGGTGGAGGGGCGGGCGCAAGGAGGAAGGGCGATGATGCTGCTGCCATGGCTGCCATGTCGGAATCCGTTCTGGCCCTCAACAGGTCGGTCCGACAGACCGCCTCTCCTGCAGCCTACCCTCTCATCCTCTTCTCCCACCCCCTCTCTCCTCTCTCGCTTTCTTCTTTGCCCTTCTCACCTTTTTCGTCGCCCACGGCTAACACAAAACCGCCTCCTGCTTCTCCCATCCCATCCATCCATGCGTCCCCTCCCATCCTTCCGTGCATCCCCCCCCTCCCCTCCCTCCCCTCCCTTACCAACTCCTCCCTACTGCCCCGCCTCTCCCCTCCCCAACTCCTCCCTACCGTCATCCCGTCTCTCCCCCTGTGTGGGTGCGGCCAGAACGCTGATGGATGCGGCGGGGCTGGGCACGGTGACTCTGCTGGCGGGCACGCGCACCGTGGCGGTGAGCAACGATGGCATGGCGGCCATGCTGGGCCGCGCCAGGGCGGACGTGGACGGGCACCGCTTTGCAGACCTCGTGGTTGAAGCAGACAGGCCCAAGTTCGAGGTACTACCCCTGGGGGAAGGGAAGGGGGTTGCATGCAGTGCTTTTTGATGACGCGGGGGTTGCTGGCAGGAACCGGGGTAGGGATGGGGAAAGCAAAGGGGAAGGAGTAGGGGTGTGCTAGGAGCTGGTGTGTGTGTGTGTGGGTTTTGTGTGTCTCGTTCGTCATTTCCTCCTTTGTTCCATGCTCGTTGCACTCATTCTGATACTCCCCTTCGTTTCTTCACCCCGCCCTGGTCTCGTCTCGCTCCCTCGCCTCCCAGGAGTGGTTGGACCGGGTGTGCAAGAAGGCCGAGGACGACCCATCCTCTGCCTCTGCTGCTGCTGCCGCTGCTGAGGCAGGAAATGCAGGCACGGTCTCTGACGGACAAGTAGACAAGGAAGTGGAATTGCTAGGTGCCGCTGCTGCCCCTGCTGCTTCTGACGCTGGTGGTGGTGCTGATGGTGGTGGTAGTAGGGATGGTGACGCGGTGCTGGCAGGAGAAGGAGCCAAAACAGTAGCGGACGGAGCTGCAGGGGCAGAGACAGCAGCAGCAGCAGCAGGGGGGACAGAAAAGGAGGGAGCAAGTTCAGGAACAGAGCCAGCAGCAGCAGCAGCTGCCGCCGCCGCTGCCGTAGTAGCGGTTGGAGTAGGGCAGGGGAAGGATTGCCTGGAGGTGCGGATGCAGCACAAGTCAGGGGGGTCCGTGCGGGTGCGCATGACTGCGGCTCTACCACCCACCGTGACTCCAGACGCACTGGGAAGTGGGAACCAAGTCGGCAATGGAGAGAAGCCCCATAGCGGTGGTGCCGCTGGTGCCAATGCCGCCAGTGCCGCTGGTGGTGCTGTCGGTGTGTCTGCTGCAGGCAAGGGAACGGGTAATGGTGCAGGGAGCATGCCAGAAGTGGTGGCGCTGCTGGTGCATGACATCACGGGGTGCTGCGGGCACGGCGCAGAGATGAGGGAGGCCAAGCAGGCCTTGCAGGCGGCGGCTGTGGAAGGCAACAAGGAGTTTGCTCGTTTGGTGTGCCGGGAGGTCGGCACTGCCATCAACGGTGTGTGCCTCAGCTTTCGCCTCTTTCACCGCTTTCGCCTCTTTCGCCTCTTCCCCTTCGTGCCCCACACCACCCCTCCCCACCTTTACCTCTCCCCTCTCTCTTTTCCTCACTTGCCACTTCTCTCCTCCTTGCCTGCCATCAGTGTCGCCATATCTCGCTTCCATCCCCATCCCCAACATGATCACATGGTGGTCCCCAACGCATCCCCGTCCGTCCCCCCAGGCGTGGTGGGCATAGCGGATCTGCTGCTGGACACGGACCTGGCGGGCGAGCAGCGCATATTCCTGGAGCTCATCCTTGCGTGCTCCTCCAACCTGCACGCCGTGCTCTCCTCGCTGCTGCTCGCCGCCAACACCCACCCGCCGCTCCCCGCCGCGGGCGGGCTGTCGCTGCACTCGCTGCACCTCGCCACCCAGGACGTGGACCTGCACCGCCAGGTGAGGAATGGAAGGGGGGTCGGGGGAGGACGGGGGGCTGTAGGGTTGTGGGGAGAGGGGTCAACTGATTCCTTGCAGGCCTGTCTTGAGGTCCCTTAATGCTCGCCACAAAGGACGTGGACCTGCACCCACAGATGGGGAGGGGAGGGGGGAGGCTGATAAAGGTAGGGGGGAGAGGAGGAGAGAGAGGTTGGAAGGTCCAGGCTCCTGCTCCTCGCATGACGTCGCTCAGATTTTGTTTCCCCTGTTTCGCGCCATCTCTGCCACTGCCCGTGGTCATATCTGCATTGGATTTGCTGCATCTCTCCCTGTGAACTGACCTTGTCGCATGCACGACATGTGTGCATGTGCATGTGCAAACGCGTGTCCGCAGGTGCGGGAGTGTGTGCGGCTGGTGGACGTGGTGGCGAAGGAGAAGGGTCTGGCGCTGATGTGCGGGATAGACTCGGCAGTGCCGCGCATGGTGCTCACGGACGCCGTGCGCCTGAGACAAGTGCTCATGAACCTGCTCTTCAACGCCCTGCACAACACCACCCGGTCAGTACTCCCCCCAACCCCCTCCCTCCCCCCCCCAAAACGGGTGGCACGGGTGGCACGGGTGGCTAGTGGGCGGGTGTGGCAGGGGGGGCTAGTGGCACGCGTGAATAGAACTGGTCAAGTGAGACCTGGTGAAGTGAGACCTTGTTAGGTGAGACCTTGTCAAGTGAGACCTTGCCAAGTGAGACCTTGTCAAGTGAGACCTGGTCAAGGGAGACCTGGTCAAGCGAGGCCTGGTCAAGTGAGACCTGGTCAAGTGAGACCTGGTCAAGTGAGGCCTGGTCAAGTGAGACCTTGTCAAGTGAGACCTTGTCAAGTGAGTCCTTGTCAAGTGAGTCCTTGTCAAGTGAGACCTTTTCAAGTAAGACCTGTTCAAGACCTGGTCAAGTGAGGCTCTTGCCACGGGAGGCTAGTGGCACGGGGGGCTAGTGGCACGGGGGGCTAGTGGCACGGGGGGCTAGTGGAATGGGGGGCTAGTGGCACGGGGGGCTAGTGGCACGGGGGGCTAGTGGCACGGGGGGCTAGTGGCACGGGGGGCTAGTGGAATGGGGGGCTAGTGGCACGGGGGGCTAGTGGCACGGGGGGCTAGTGGCACGGGGGGCTAGTGGCACGGGGGGCTAGTGGCACGGGGGGCTAGTGGAATGGGGGGCTAGTGGCACGGGGGGCTAGTGGCACGGGGGGCTAGTGGCACGGGGGGCTAGTGGCAAGGGGGGCTCGTGGCACGGGGGGCTAGGGGCACGGGGGGCTAGTGGCTCGGGGGGCTAGTGGCACGGGCGGGTAGTGGCAGGGGGGGTTATTGGCATGGGTGGGGCTAATGTTTGGTTGCACGCATAGGGGGCTGGTTGCATCTTTAACGTGTCTGGTTGCATGTTTAGGCTGGTTGGTGGCATGCTTAGGGGGGTTGGTTGCATGTTTTGGGGAGTTGAGTGCACGTCGTACTGCGCCTGCTTCTGCCAATGCTCCTTTCAGCTCCAACTCACTCCTCCTTCCTCACCATCCCCTCACCGCTCCTCTATATATCCACTCTCCTCCCTCGTCCCACTGTGTGGCACCAGGGGCGACATCACAGTGAGTCTGCGTCTGGCGTCGCGGTACGAGCGGGAACAAGTGCAGGAGCGGCGGCGCGAGCACAAGGCGCAGCACCGCAAGCTCCTTGGCGCCGCTGCTGCCTCCGCTGCTGCTGCCGCCTCTGCTGGGTCGGACGACGAGGACGAGGGGGGGGACAGTGCCGGCACGCTGCTGCTGCGCTTTGAAGTGCGCGACTCGGGGTCCGGCATGCCGCCTGCCATCAGAGACGAGCTCACCGCCATGTTCGCCTCTGTGAGTGCTGCTGCTTCCGATTCACTCTGCTCTGGGCTGTGCTGCTGTGCTGTGACCTCGCTTGCGCTCTGCTTGCGTTGTTCCACACTTGTCTGTCTCACAGTGCCCTGTCACTGGAGTTCTCCCTCTTTCTCCGTGTTCGTGTCAATGGCACCAGGATGCCATCTTCGCCCCATCCCCCCCTGTTCCCCACTGCCCCTTCCGCACCTCTTCCCTGCTCCCCTACTCTCTGCCCACCCTCTTTGCTGCTCCCTTCAATGCCCATCTCTCCACTTCCCTCCCCGCTCCCCCGCTCCCACTCCCTCCCTCCCCCCCCCCCCCTCTTAGACCCTTCCCGCGGAGTCAGTCAACGGTGTGCGGGGCACGGGCCTTGTACTCGTTAAGAACCTCCTTGACATGTTCGGGGGCTTCCTGCGCCTGGACAGCGACGAGCACCGGGGGTCGTCGTTTGTCTTCTTTGTGCGCGTGGCCATCCCCGAGGTCATGGTCACGCCCGCTGAGCTCAGCCCGCACCAGCCCCCGGACATGGCGCTATGGCGACGGGTGCCCGACATTCGCGTGCTGCTCGTGGATGTGAGTGGCTGTTGCTTGCTACCATGTGCAACGTCCATGTCCCTTGTTAACATTTTTTTCTTTCTTTCTTTCACGCGTCTGTTCACCTTGTGCAGCCCACCCTGTCCATCTACCGACCGATGCATCTCTCTGTCCAATTTCTCCGCTCCTCTGAATTGTACCCTTCTTGCCATGTGCGTTTGTCTCCCCTCCCCGTGCACGTGTTGGTGTGAATGCGCGGGGGTACATGCGGGCGTGAGTGCATGCATGCATGTGTGGCCACAGGAGGACAAGATGAGTGAGATGATAGCGTCCAGTGTGTTCCGGCACCTGGGCCTGCCCATGGACACGGCTCACACTGCCATGGACGCCGCTTCCCTCTGCCACAAGTACAAATACGACCTCATCCTCATTGTAAGGCACCTCGCCTCGTCCTCATAAACTGTTGCCTCATTTTCATGCTTAGCTTACTCATTTTCATGCTTAGCTTACTCATTTTCATGCTTAGCTTACTCATTTTCATGCTTAGCTGACTCATTTTCATGCTTAGCTGACTCATTTTCATGCTTAGCTGACTCATTTTCATGCCTACACACCTCATATCCTCCTGCCAGCATTCACCCCCGCACTCTCCTTTCCCCATCTCTTCCGTCCCTCTTCCACTGGAGACACCCAAGTCGCCACCGGTGCCCACCACAACCACCGGTCCCCATGACTGCAACCTGTCTGCCTTGGGCCGCTTCAGAAGGGGCTGCTCAAGACACCTCAAGCACCACCTGTCCCTCCACCACCTGTCCCTCCACCACCTGTCCCTCCACCACCTGTCCCTCCACCACCTGACTCCCCCGACCCCCTCCCCTTCCGCCCCCAGGACTGCAACCTATCCGGGGTGGACGGCTTTGACACGGCGCGGCTGCTGCGGGCGCAGGAGAAGGAGGGCGTGGGGCGGGTGGGCGTGTACGAGCGCAGCTGCATGGTGGCGCTGACGCCCGGGGTGAGCACGAGCAGCGAGGAGGAGCAGCGGTGCACGCGCGCCGGCATGAACTACTTCATCCCCAAGCCCCTGCGCCTCAGGGACCTGCAGATGGTCGTCAGGTGAGGGGGAGATCTGCACCTGCACATGGTTGTGGTCGTCAGGTGAGCAGGGCCAGGGCCTAAACAGGTCATCCCCCCCCCCACCCATCCCTCCCCCCCGTCTCTCTCTCCCACATCTCTCTGTCCTCCTAAGTTTCTGTGTGTCTCCCACGTGAACCCCGCCCTGCCGTCACAGGCATCGCCTCAACGTGCTGGATACGGGCTCCAGGTCCTTCTCGGGGCCCTGCACGCTCATCCAGTACTGCTCCGTGGACGACACGGAAGGCGAGGACGAGGAGGGGGACGACACGCACGAGTCAGAGGACGACCATCGCAAGCATCACCACCGCCGGCGCAGCCGCGGGGGCTCAAGCCACACTGAGGACGACGAGGACGAGGCAGGGAGCGACCTCCTTGGCGACAGCACCACGCCCTCTCTCACCCCAGAGGCCACCACCCCCGTGTCAGCGGCCCTTGCCGCTGCTATGGACCTGCTGCCCCCTGCTGAAGCCCATGCAAGGGTGGTGGCTGCTGTCGCTGCTTCGTCCTCCAACTTCTCCGGCCTTCCTCCCAATCCCCTTCGGTCCTCTGGGAGCCTCCGCACCACAGGCAGCCTGAGGCAGCAGCCGGGATCTAGAGACATGCGCTCTGTGTTGGGTAGAGGGAAGGAGGGCGGGTCCGGGATGCTCCGGCGAGGGAGGGAAGGCGGATCGGGCTCTCTTGCGTTTGCTGCAGCCAGGGGTGGTGGTGCTGGGTCTGGAGGCTCTGGTTCTTCTCCTAGAGGCTCTGGCATGGGGGGGGACGGCGGAGGTAGAGGAGGCGGAGGAGGTTTAGTCGGCACGGGGAGTGGTCGCAGGGAGGATATTTACAGCCTGATTATGGCGCAGAAAGCAACGCAGGAGGAGGAGAAGCTTCAGCACCGAGGGTCGGGGCTGCAGAGGGGGGGCAGTGGCAGCAGGAGCCACAGTGGGGGGAGCGGGAGCGTGGGTCGCAGCGGCAGTGGGATGAGGTCGAGGGGTAGCAGGCTGGGTAGAGGGGGGGATAGCCGCAGCAGCAGGGACAACAGGGGGAGCAGGGGCGGACGGAGAAGTATAAGCGGGAGTAGATCCCGCAGCCACAGCCGCAGCCGCAGCAGCGGGAGGAGTAGTAGGAGCAGGAGCAGTAGGAGCAGGAGCGGGAGTAGGAGTGGCAGCGATAGGAGGAGGCGACGGCGAGGGGGGAGACGAGGAGGGAAGGGCGGGCGTGGGAGTGGAAGTGGAAGTGGGGATGATGACGACGATGATGATCATGAGTCTGTGGTGGAAGTCTCGGATCCCAAGAGACTGAGTGGGAGACGATCGGATATCCATGAATTTATGGAGGATGTTGGGAGGGTGAGGAAGGCGGGGGGTGGTAGCGACGATGACAGGAGCAATGAGGGCAAGGATGATGGGGAGAAAGACTTGGACATGAGTGGGCTGAGGAAGCTGGGGAAGAGAGAGAGCGGCGCGCAGTGGAAGGACGGCAGGGAGGGGAGCAAGAGCCTGGGAAAGATGAAGGTGGATATGAAGGAGGAGGAGGAGGAAACGGAGGGTGCAGTGACAGGTGGGGAGGAGGAGGAGGATGGTATCAAAGATGAGGCGCGGGAGGCGGGCAAGGGGCATGTGAAGCAGAAGTCGTCAATGACTGGGCTGACCATGGACCAGATCTGGGCGCGAATGATGAACAAGCCAGTGGGCATTGCGGAGGGGGAACGGGGGGATGAGGAGGAGGATGAGAGGGGGAGCTTATCTGGGTCTGATAGGAGCAGGAGGGGCAGAGGCAGGAGGAGCGGCAGGGGGAGTGGTAGGGATGGGGATAGTGACAGGAGCAGGGGGGATAGCAGGGAGGACAGCAGGGAGCGGCGGAGAGGGAGAGATAGGAGTAGGGATAGGGATTGGGACAGAGACCGGGATTGGGATAGTGATAGGGATAGCGATAGGGAGAGGGATAGGGGGTGGAATAGGGGCAGGGGTGGAGACAGGGATAGGGATAGGGATAGGGACAGCGATTGGGATAGTGACAGGGAAGGGAGGGGAAGAGATAGTGATTCGGATAGTGAAAAGGGGGGGAGAAGGAAGAGGAGAGGAGGGAGGAAGGGGTCAGGAGGGGGGAGTGGAAGCGAGAAGGATGGTGACGACGAGGACCTTTCTGAAGGGGAGAGGAAGAGGAGAGAGGGGGGGAGGAGAAGGGACGGCAGGAGGAGAAGCAGGAGCAGGAGCTCTGGCGGAAGCTCTAGGAGCGGGAGCATGAGAGGGAGAGACGATGGTGGGGAAGGGGTGGGGAAGGAGGAGAGGGAGAGGAGAGGCGGGTTGAAGAAGCAGGATAGTGAGGGGAGCGATGGGGAGCTGCTGCCAGGGCTGGCTGAAGCGGCAGCAGCAGCCAAGGCTGGCACGCTGGTGAGCACACCGAGCTTGGGGCGGCTGGTGCATGAGAAGGAGGTAGAATCGGCGAGGAACCTCAAGACGTTAGATGAGGATGATGACGACGTTGATGATGATATGGGTGGAGGTGCAGGAGAGGGTGGCAAGGAGGGCGGGGACACTGGTTTGCCAGCAACAGTGTCGTCTACAACCTCTCCTCTCACCCCCGCTGCTGCTGCTGCCCCTGCTGCGGGTGCTCCTGCTGGTGGTTCACCTGACAGCAGCGGTTCTGCTGCTGCTGCCACACAAACATCCGTGCCATCTGCCCCCAGGGACGGGGATAGTGCAGGTGCTAGCTCCACTGGTGTCTCCTCAGACCCAGCTGCGGAGACGGGAGGAGGCACTCCAATTGCGGCCACTGCTGCTGCAGATGAAAGAGATGGTGACGATGACGATGGGGAGAGTGACATCGAGGTGGAGGAGGCTGGCGACGGTGAGAGTCCCACGTTGGGCCGCACGTTCACAGTGAAGGCCTCGGGGGACCGCATTCGGCAGCTGCTGCGTAGCAAGACCACGGACCGAGTGGCCGGGAAGAAGAGCCAGCACCAGGGGGAGGAGGGAGACCCGCCTCTCTTCCGAAGCAAGACGGCAGTGACGTCCGTGCCAGAGCACCTGCAGGGGAGCCAGGGGCTGCTGGGCCGGCCTGGCAGCATGGGCGGCAGCAGCAGGCTGGGGATGGGTGCAGCCCAGTTTGGAGTGGCGACTGGCCTTGGGGAGCGGTTTGATGTGGCATCAGCTGCTGCGGCGGCGGTTGCAGCTGTGCCGGATGGGTCTCCAGCACTGCTTGCCGCTGGCTCTGCTCTTGGAGGAGGAGGGCAGTTGAGCCCTGCAGCAGAAGAGGCAGCAGATGGAGCAGGAGGGGGGGAAGCAGGAGCAGCAGCGTTGGAGGGAGGTGAGCTGTCAGAGGATGAGGGTGCGGCGTGGGAGCAGGAGCTGAGGGAGGGGAGGGGTGGGTCGGGGCGGCGAATGGAGGAGGAGTTGCCCCTGGGGTGGGGCATGAAGGACCGGCTTGGAGGCCCCAGGGAGGGGGATGAGGGGCTAGATGGGGAGGATGAGGATGAGGAGGAGGAGGAGGAGGAAGAGGAGGAGGAGGAGATGGACATTGAGGAGGAGATAGCGCTGGCACGGGTTGCGGCGTCGGAGAGCTTGAACAGGAGAATGGCAGCGCAGTTTCAAGGGGAGTTAGGGCACGGCGGGGGAGGCGGTGCCGGCATGGGGTGAATGGATAAGGACTCTTAGAATGCCGCAGCAACGAGGTGCGGTGTGGTGCACCTATGGGGTTGGGTGCTTTTGCTAGAGTTCTCAGAATGCGTCTGCAACAGAGGTGGTGGTGTGGGTATGGGATGGTGGTGGAGTTGGGTGACTGGGGATTGGAGATGGGTGTGGAGCGGTGGCAGGAGTTGTGAATGTGTGCATCTTGATTTGAAGACTTGTTTTCACAGATGTGGCAACAGAGCCACATGTACTAGGCAGCGCAGCATGGCACATCCCATTGTGCCTCATCCTCCTCTCTTCCGGCTGCTGCGGCTGTGGCTACTGCTGGAGCTGCTGCTACTGCTGTCTATCCTCTCGTTGTTGGCTCCCGGTATCTGTTGTTCGTCTGCGTGTCACCCTGTTTCTCTCCCTGTAGGTATCACCGTATCACACAGCAGAGCCACGCTGCATGGAGCGAGCTGTCAGCATGTTTGCTGCACAGACACTGCAGCAGCCTGCCTTGTTCTGTTTGGGATAAAGTACTGGTCATAGTTGTAGCCTCTGGCCAGGGGCCAGGCTAGTATGTTGTGTAGTGAACTAAAAGGTTGACAACAATGCTCTGTGTAGATAGTATATGAGGCAACTCTGTAGTGTTGGTAGTGTATTATGGCACTTACACTTAGTAACAGCAGCAGTAGTAATCTGCACCGCAGTCAGTAATCCAGGCACACTTGGAAGGCTGCTGCATGGCGTCATGCCATGCCATGCTACTACTGAATGTAAACCACGCCAACAGGATCGCCCTCGAATCAACACCCTTCTCTGCTCGTCCATGACATGCCACTACAGTGATTGCCTCACCCAACACAACTTACAGAACTACTTCCTGCACTTCCCTACAGTGATCGCCTCTACCATCCTGGCTCTCATACCGGTACCAGTACTGAGGCAGGCCCTTCAATGCACCAGCGCGACCTGCCTGTTGAACTCTTACCATACCAACCACTGTTAGCCCCCAGACACAAGGTTACACACCAGCCCTTGGCTTCCTGTCCGGGCCACAATACGAGCACACACACACTATGGACATGGACAAAGATCAGTGCAGCCTAAGAAATCCACGTTCCACCATTCCCTCCCCTCCCTCACCTCCCTCTCCTCCCTCCTCTCCCTCCCCCTCCACTCCCACCACCCCCCTACAAGTCCTTCCCCTTGGCCTCCACATGCCGCTCCTCCTGCGGCTCCTCCATCTGCACGAAGAGGCTCGCATGCGGGTGCAGCCCGGCCTCCTGCAGCGTCTTGCCTCTCGCGCCCTCATCGTACACGGTGCGCGGGAAGTTGGAGACGAGCACGTAGTGGTGCGACAGCAGCAGCACGCCCAGGGCCTCCGCGTCCACGTAGTCGTAGAGGGCCTGCACGCGGTCAGACGAGAGGAACCGCCGCTCCTTGCGCTCGCCGCCAGGCAGCCGGATGAGCACCTGCAAGGGGAAGATGGGTGGGATGGGATGGGATGGGATGGTATGATTCCATCAGACGTCCCCCTTGCAAGGTTCCCCGTGTGAGTGAGTGGTGTCTGCGCCCATGCTTGCTCTCCCTCACCTGAGTGGTGTCGGGCCCTTTCTCTGGCGGCTCTCCCAGTCTCCCCATGGCTTCCGATCGTCTCCTCTCCACAACTGCTGCTTTCTCCGCCGCTGCCCTCTCCGCCTGCCGCTGCTGCTCTGCCTCCTCCTCCGCCCTCCTTGCTGCCGCCTCCTCCTCCTCCCGCTGCTTCCGGGCAGCTTCCTCCCGTTCCTTTTCCCGCTCCTGGTGACACGAGATGAGGTGGGGTCATCAGCGGAGGGAAAGGAGGAAAGGAGGCGAATGGGAAGGGGAAAGGTGCGAGATAGAGATGATCGAGGGAGGGAGAGGGGGACGTTGAAAGGTGAGAGGGAGGTGACGGGTGGAGGGAGCAAGACAAAAACACACCATACCCTCCTCGTCCAAACCCCTCGCCTCCGACCCAATCCTAGCTGTCCCCCTACACGCTGGCCCCACCCCACACGTGCTGGTCCTCACATGCACTGTCCTCCTTCCCCCCGCCCCCTCCCCTTGCTCCTGCCTTCCCCCCCCCCCCTTCCCCCCCCTCCTCCCCTTCCCCATTCCCATCCACCCTTCTACCCCCCACCCCCCCCTTCCCCCCCCCCCCACCTGGTCAGCGGCCAGTGCGGCGTGGTAGGCGGCGTCCTGCTCCTCTCGGAGGCGGCGGTTGAGCGCCCTCTCCTCCGCGTCCACCCTCGCTGCCACCAGCACCGCCCCGTGGTCGTCCACCGCCCGCTGCAGCACGCCCCTCAGCTCCCCCGCCGACACGTAGCCCTGGATCTGAGGCGCGCACGGGGGGAGGAGGGGGGGAGGGGCGAGGAGGGGAAGGGGGGAGGGAGGAGGGAGGGAGGAAGACGGGAGGACGGGAGGGAAGAGCGGGGGGAGAGAAACAGCGAGGGATGGTGGAATCGCAGAGAGAAGAAAGAGAGGGGGGGGATGGGGATGGGGATGGGGATGGGGAGGGGGAGGGGGAGGGGAGGAACGGATTAGGCCTAACTCTCCAAACCTGCTCCCTGCTGTGTTCGTGTCCTTTTGAGTCGACTCAAAAGTCACCTTGCTCCCTGCTGTGTTCGTGTCCTCCCACTTTCTCCTAGCTTCTGCCTTCCACATCAACACCGATTCCCTCCTTGGCTTGGCACAGTTACGCACTTATCTCCCCTTCCAGCTCCTTATCCTCTTTTCCCTCTCCTCGACTCCCTTCCATCCCCTCACCTCCCATGCTCCCTTCTCCCCTCCACTCCCCTTCCCTGCTCCCCTCCCCTCCCCTCCCTTCTCTGCCCTCCCTCCCTCCATCCACCTTCATTCCCCTACAATCCCCTCCCCTCCCCTACCCTGCCCTCCATCCAGTCCCTCCCCTCCCCTCCCCTCTCACCTGCTGCAGCAGCGCCACGCGTCCCCCCGGTGCGCTAGTGATGAGCGCGAGGAAGGGGAAGCGCACGGCCTGCAGGCGGTGGCTCATCTGGAAGCCCTCCACGCTGCGCACGTCCGCGGCCCACAGCACGAGCTGCTCGTCGATCAGCCGCACCACCTCCGGGTCGCACAGCGTGTCGCGGCAGAACCGAGGCGTCGCCGCGTGCTCCGGCGCGTGCAGGTACACCAGCAGGAAGCGGAACTGCTCCCCCGCACGCCGCAGCGCCTCCGCGAAGCTCCCCGGGAAGAACTCCGGGTGCGCGGTCCCGAACTCCGCCTCGAACCGTTGGCGGAACACCGCCGCGTCCGGCGCCTGCTGGGCCCCCGCTCCCCCTCCCCCCCGCTGCTGCTGTTGTTGCGCCGCCCCCCCCGCCTGCTGCGGAGGGTGAAGCGCGCCGATGGCCCCCTGATGCCCGCTGTAGGGGTGCGGCCCGCCCGCTAGCCAGAGCGTGATGGAGCTAAGCGACGCGAAGAAGGTCGTTAGGACGCCGCCCGCCGCCCATAGGCCCAAGCCGACGATACTGGCCATGACGCCCATCCCCCCGCGGAGCACCCAGAAGGGCAGGGATAGGAGGCGGGAGAGGAGGGAGGACGAGGGGCTGCGATGGGACGCGCGGATGGGAACGCGGCCGGAACGGAGTGCGGGGACGGTGGGAGAAATTGCGGCTGCTGTGCCGTCCACAGGCGCCCCTGCTCCTCCAGGATTGCTTCCCCCGCCTCCCCCTCCGCCTCCCCCGCCTCCGCCGACTGCCACAAGCCCTCCTGTCCGAGCGCGAAGACTCGAGTTGCCGATCGACGGCCCCGCTCTTCCTGCTGCTGCTGCTGCTGTAGCCCCTCCCCCTGCGCCGGCGGCACGCGCCAAACCGGAGCTGCCGGCAGCAGCGCCCACCCTGCCGGCTGCGGCGCCGGGTTCTCCGCCGCCTTCGCCGCCCCCCAGATCGGCCCCGGACGCGCCGCCGAAGTGCTCGCGATCTTCGGCGGCCACCGCGAGGAGCGTGCTGGCGGCGGCGTTGACGTCCCACGCGTGCGCCTCCAGCACCTGGCGGCAGTGCGACTCGTCCGCCACCCCCGTCACCTCCTGCAGCGTCTGCACGGCTTGCGCTGTCGCTGCTGCGTCCGGGAGAGGCGGCGGAGGGGCCGACGCTGCCGCAGCCATGAGAGGCGCGCGTGGAAGCTACAAGATGTTGGAGAGGAACTCTGCTAGTTGGTGAAATAATCGGCCTGAAATTCCTCTATGTCCGGCACGCGAACTATAACCCGTCCTATGCTGTTCTAGGACGGTCTTTATAGGAGGAGATCACAATTGCGGAAAACCTGCTTTCAGTCACGAACTTCACCACAACCAGGTCTCTTTTCCCTGTGCAGCTGGATGTAGCGAGAAATTCTACTAAGGGACAAGAGTTTCACTCAGATCTCACCACCACCACCTCCGAATCGAGGAATTCTAGAAGGGCCCTAGGTCAGGAGGAGTCAGTAGGACTCTCTGGGGGTTGGGGCTTTTTGGGGCAGCTGTGCTCTTTTCCGCAGGTGCCCGTACCACGCGCGGTGGTGGTGGTGGTGGTGGTGCCAGCACCACCGACCGGCAGGGGAGGGGAGCGGGCTTGGTTGGAAAAGCCAGGAGACCTCGAGGAGTTCAGCCCCCTCCCAGAATGTGGGAGGTCCAGCACTAGCACACTCAGGATGTGTACACTTCGAAATAAATCTATATAGAAATTTATCCCAACCACACATATAAGAACAAACTGTTTTGAAACACCTTTCTCCCATGAGTGCCCTAGGTGTGGCTTCCCGCCTTCCTGATCTGGTCTTGTGTCTGACCTCTGATCGAATCACCCCAACGCGGAGAGAGTCAACTAGGCCAATGGGCAGCAGTACTGCCTTCACATGAGCCGCCATTGCCGTTTTTATGGGCTCGGCGGAGGAAATTGGCTGATCTCTGCGGGTTGGCATTAGGCACAAATGCGGGCGATCTCCGCGTTGCGCCGCTGTTCTGCCCCCACTCTGGTCTGCGCATCTCCGCGTTGCGGTGCTATTCCACGCCCCCTCGGGTCAGCAGCTGGGCGAGAAACCGACGTCGATTCCGCAGCGACCTCTAATCCTCTCATCTCGCTGACTCGTCTGCGTTACGCGAAGGCGGACTATTCGTCGTTTTCTTCTGAAACCCTTCTATGGCACGTGGCACTTATGCAGCCACGTGAAATTATAAAGCCATCAATAACCAACCACTGATTCCGTTACAAACGCTCGACTCGTCCATTTTCTGTTCGGTCATCGCATCGCGAATTGACTCCTGCACTCGATCCCTGCTGCCCAGTCCGACTGCTAGTTAGGCCGTATTCTTAGGGCTGCCGTGCGAGTCTCTGGCCGCTAGTTGCGCCGTATTCTTAGGGCATCCATTCATTCCATGGCGTCGTTACGCTCATGGGGCGCGGGAGCTCCGTCCGCGAGTCAAGGCCAGGGCGGCGCGTTCTCCACTCCGCCCTCCGCCCGCGCTAAGCCAGCCACGCCAGAATTCAACTTCCACACCCCCTCGCCCTCCCATCAACACCAACCCTCCGCCGGCGGGTTACCGAACCAGCCACAGCAGAACGGGTATGCATCCAGCAACCCGCAAGCCTCCCCCCTCCCGCCTCCCCCTTCCACCTCCATGCCCGGACTCTCGTCCCCATTTCCCGCCTCCTCCGCTGCCACCGCAGTAGCCGCAGCCGCGGCGGCATCCGCCGTTCCCGCGAGCCCGTGGGGGAGCATGGTGGTGGGCGCGAACGGACAGCCGCAGCGGTGGCTGGACGCCGCCGGTGTGCTGACGGACGTGGAGGAAGCGGGGAGGTTCTTATCGGATCTGCTGGCAGATGACGCGGCAGTGTCTGGAGCAGGACACGTGGCAGCGGGGGCTGGTGCTGGGACGGGGGGCGGGGCTTTGGGTTTACCGGATCTGCACGAGGATCTCGAGGCGGGACGGCTGTCTGCGCTCCAGCCGTATTCGAGTCCGCCGTTGGAGGTGAGTGGAGGAGGGGAATCGAGAGATAGGGAAAACGGGGAGAGGTGAGAGGGGAAGGAGAGGGAGGGCGCTTCTCTCAAACCCCTCGTTTAACAGTGGCCGGCAGCAGTTGAGCAGGTGGGGTTCGAGAAGCTGCCTTCTTTTGAGGCGCCTCTAAAATAGACACCACTTGTGACCCCCCCCTCCCCCCTTCCCCTCCCCCCCCCGGGGCTTCTCTCAAACCCCTCGTTTAACAGTGGCCGGCAGCAGTGGAGCAGGTGGGGTTCGAGGAGCTGCCTCCGGAGCTGATAGCGCGCTACAATGCCGCGGGCGGGGAGGGCTCCGCGCTCTGCGGCCTCTTCCCCGCCGCCAAGCTCGCATGGGCCACCGTCAATAACACGCTCTTCCTCTGGCGCCTGGGGGGCAGGTGAGCGGGGGGAAATGGGGGGAAGGGGGAATGGGGAGGCGAGGGGAGGGGGGAACGAGGGCTATGGCTAGGGCGAGGGCGAGGAGATGGAAGGGGAGGGGAGGGGGTTGGGGTTGCTCTTGCGTCACTGCGATGCACTCATCCCTCTCCCTCACACTCTTTCGCTCACTTGCACACACACATTCTCTCTATCTGATGCACACACACCCTCACACTTACTAACTACAAAAGTTGAGCATGGAATGCCACGCCGTGGCCACAACTCTATCCTCTACCGCCCCGTCCCCCGCGCGTCATTCATGCTGGGGCGCGCAGGAGCAGCAGCAGTCGGTGTGCGCAGTTCACGTGGGAGCAGCACGCCATATGCGCCGTGGGGCTGGTGAAGCCGCGCCCGTCCGTCTTCATCCACGCCATTCAGCACCTGCTCGTGCTCGCCACGCCCGTGGAGGTGAGCACGCGCGTGAGCGAGCGGCATGGATGACTGGGTGACCATTCTCTTCTCCCTAGTTCCTGCTCTTTACCCCGCCCTCCTCCACGTCCGTGCTCACCCACGCCATCCAGCACCTGCTCGTGCTCGCCACGCCCGTCGAGGTGATGCATGTGGATGAATGGTGGGACATGTGGAAGGGGGGGAACCAACCAGGTGCTGCATGGGTGGATGCAACATGCAGCTGCTGTGCCATGCCATGGCATGGCATGGCATGGCTTGATAGATTGCACGATTAAACTAGAGAAGCCGCTTCATGTGGCGCGGCCTCAAGATTTCTCCCTATTGTTTCCTGCTGTTCACACCGCTCCACACCCTTCGCCTTTGTTTCCCCTGTCTCCAGATTCTTCTGCTGGGCCTCTGCTCGCGGGGAAGCCCCTCGCTCCTATCTTGGCGGGCCACTTCAGCAGCAGCGCCGTCTCCCGGCCCACAGGACACGTCCTTCTTGGCCACCCCTCCGCCACCTACCTCATCCTTAGCAGCAGGAGCAGGAGGAGGAGGGGAAGGAGAGGCAGGCGCAGGGGCAGGGGCAGGGTCCCGCGGGCAGCCGCCGGAGGACATTGTTCTGCAGCCGCTTCCCGACTACGTGGTCAGCAGCGACAACGTCGCCATGACCTGTGTGGCGGGGACGCCCTCGGGCAGGATCTTCCTGGGCGGGCAGGACGGGCACGTGTACGAGATGGCGTATAACTCGGGGTCTGGGTGGCAGCGGCGCTGCCGCAAGATCTGCCTCACCAACTCGCTCACCTCCATGATCTCCAAGTGAGTCGCATTTGAACGGCACCACAGGCTATTACACTTAACGAGAACCAAGCAACCCCCCCCCACCTCCCCCCCCGCCCGCCTCCCCTTCCTTCCCCCCTCACTTCTTCCTCTCCTCCTCCTTTCTCCCTCTCCCCCCACCCGCTCCCCGTCCTGCCCCAGGCTGGTGGTCCGGTCCGTGTTCCGCTTCTCGTCAGCCAGCCCGGTGGCGGAGCTGCAGCTGGACGCAGGCCTTGGCAGTCTATTTTTTAGGCGCCTCACGAATACGTGTCCCCCACCCCCTCCCTGTCGCGCCCCAGGCTGGTGGTGCCGTCGGTGTTCCGCTTCTCCTCATCCAGTCCAGTTGCGGAGCTGCAGCTCGACGCGGACCGCGGCATTCTCTACGCACGCACGCTCGACTCGCGTGTGCTCGCCTTCGACCTGGGCGCCGACGGACAGCAGCCCGCACGCAAGGTAGCAGAGGCGTCCCATGTGGGAACTCTAAGGGAGTACTACCGGGAGGCTGGCGCTGGGGGCGGTATGGGAGGAGGGTTCTTTGGTGGTGCTGGTGGTGGGCAAGGGGTTGGAGGAGCAGGAGCAGGAGGGAGGGGGGGCATGCGAGGTGCGCCGGCCAAAGCGTCCGTTGTGTCTCTTGCTCCCACTTCCGTTGCTGAGTCCCGCTCAATTCATCTTGTGGCTGTTCTTTCCGACGGCCGCCGTGTCTTCCTCTCCACGTCCCACACCCCCTCCTACTACCACCCCTCCCGCCCTCTCCCTTCCGCCACCCCCTCCACTCCTTCCGCCTCCGCCTCCTCCCACTCTCACCACCTCCACAAGCAGCCTCGGCCTTCCCAGCTCAAAGTTATTTCTGCCCGGGCTGCCCCTCCACGAGGACTCCCAATCGCTGCTGCTGGTTCGCCCGCCGCGGCAGCAGCAGCAGCCGCAGCAGCAGCTGCAGCAGCGAGCATTGCAGGGTATGGGTCCCCCACTGGCTTAGGCCCGCCTGGTGCTCCTGGGTGGGGGGCAGCGGGGAGAGGCATGGGTCCTGGGGGGTACTATGATGCAGCCGGATCCGCACGGTATGGTGCAGGAGGTGGTATGGGAGGAATGGGAGGAATGGGAGGAATGGGGGGGGTGGGAGCTCCTGGTGGGGCTTTTCCAGGACCCGGAGGTCTTGCAGGGATGGGCGCAGCAGTGGGGCTTGGGGGGCTGGGCGGCTTTGGAGGGCTGACGTTCGGTGCGGAGCAGGCGCTGATGATCAAGGTGGAAGCAGCCGTGAGCAACGCCGGCCAGCTCTCCCTCTCCGACGCGTCCCCGCCCCAACTGGGCTCCATGGCTGCTGCACCAGTGTCCCCACCGACCTCCTCCCAGCTCGTCATCTGCCTTAGAGATCTCACCATCCCTCCCTGGTCGTCTGGCGTCTATGCTGGCGCTGGTGGCATGCCTATGGGTGGTGGTTTTGGCTCTCCTCCCACCCATCACCACCAATATCACCATCAGCACCAGCACCAGCATCAGCATCAGCATCAGCAGCAGCAGCATTTCCAGCACACCCCTGCTGCAGGGTCACCTGCACCAGCCCCTGCTCCTTCATCCCCTTTCTCGTTCTTCTCCCCTTCACAACAGCAGCAGCAGCAGCAGCAGAGGGGATTCAGCTTTGGCACTCCTGCAGCAGCACCAGGAGGTCCAGGTTCAGCCGCCAGCCCCTTTGCACCCCACGTACCAGCAGCAGCAGCAGCAGCAGGTGGGTATGCGGCACCCTCTGCTCTTCTCCCCCGCGGTCTGCGGGAGACGGTATCCATCGTGCCCTTGGAAGGCCGCGTGCTCGCAATGGCAGAGCTCCTCCCCTCGCTCCTCCTCACCGCCGCCTTTGATGTCGCCTCTGCCGCTGCCCTGGGCTCGCTCCCCTCGGCCGCCCTCGCGGCTCCCTTCCCAGGAGCCATTACTGCCTCTACTGCTGCAAATGGCTTTCTCCCGCCTGACTCCCCCTTTTCTGGGGCAGCAGGGCGAGGAGGGGGAGTGGGAGCAGGGGTAGGAGGAGGAGGGGGAGAAGGAGGAGGAGGAGGAGGGGCGTTGGGCTGGTTGCTTTCTGGATCGCCAGAGAGAGTGCAAGGAGGGGGGAGGGGAGGGGGAGGGTGGGGAGGATGGTGGGGAACACCAGGAAAGGGAGGAGGAGGAGGAGGTGCAGGCGAGGGGGGCGGTGGGGGGGGCAGCATGGGGGGCTTACGGCTGAAGGAAGGCGGAGGGGAGGAGGAGCAGTTGGCGCGTGCGCGGCGGCTGTGGGCGCGGGGGATACTGGCCACGCAGCACATGCTGCCGCGGCGGTCCCTGGTGGTCCTCAGCACGGTTGGGCTGGTGAGCTTCGCGGTGAACCGGCCAGTTGATATCCTGCGGCGGCTGCTGGAGAGGAATGCGCCGAGAGCAGCGGTGGAGAGTTTTTTCGTGCGGTATGGCAGTGCGGAGGCCGCAGCTATGTGCCTGCTGCTGGCGTCAGGAATCAGCCCATGGAGGGAGGGGGCGGTGGGTGTGGGTGCGGAGGAGAGTGCGGGTAGAGAGATGGACGGGGAGGATGCGGGGGATTTTGGTAGGTGGGGACAGGGAGGTGGGGGAGGAGGAGCGGGAGGGGAAAGGCGGCGTGGGAGAATGGCAGGCGGGTGGGATGGTGGGCTAGGAGGGGCGGGAGGGGGTGGTGATGAGGGGGTAAGAGCAAGAGGTGGAGGAATTGGGGGAGTGTCAGCGGTGGGAGGGGGGGTGTCAGGGGGAGCGTCAGCTGTGTCGGTGCTGGTAGCAGAGCGAGCAGCCCAGCTGCTAGACGACCCTCGCTTTGTGGGCCTCCCATCTCTTCAAACCCTTCCTTATGGCACCACCACCACCGCCGCTCCGCCTGTTACTCCCAACCCTGCAGCAGCAGCAGCAGCAGCAGCAGGACCGCCAGGTGCACCAGGAGGGGCGTTTGGAGGAGTTGCAGGGGCAGCAGGAGCAGGAGGCTGGTCCCGGCCCTATGCCCCTTCCACCCCTCCTGCTGCGGCGGCTCCTGGCACTCCTGCTGCTGCCGGTGCTTATGGTGGTGCTGCCGCTGGTGCTTATGGCACTGCAGGGGCGGCAGCTCCCGGCTGGGCTGGGTTTGCTGGGAGGATGGGGGCAGGGTGGGGGAACGCAGCAGCAGGAGCAGGAGTAGGAGTAGGAGGACCAGAAGTTCAGGTGGTGTATTCCGGCGCGTTTCAAGGGCTGTCGCTGTGTGTGGCCAGGCTGCTGGGCCCCATATGGGACCTGCCTGTCCTCTCGTCCCCCTCGGGCACCACTGCTAGTGCCTTTGCGGCTTCCGCGGCTGGCGGTGGTGGCTCTGGAGGTGCCGGTGGCGCAGGGGCGTCTGGTGGCGGTGGTGCCAGTGGCGCTGCATCTGCTGCACTCTACTGCAGGTCTGGTTCTTGCACATCGCTGACCTCTCTTGCGTGTTTTGCTCCCTTCTACAGCTATATACTTCACCATCTCAAGCTGTATCGCCCATTCTCATCTCATCCCTCAAGAGCATCCCCCTTCTCTCCCCCCCACTTCCCTCCCCCGCCAGTGGCTCCGTCTCCCTGATTTTCACATCCCCCTCCCCTTCTCCCCCCCCCACTCTCTCCTCCCAGCCTGCCTCCTGAGGTGCTGTCGCTGTACGAGGCCAAGGCGCGGCTGCTGGAGGCCTTTCTGCGCTCGCGCAGGGACCATCGCCGCGGCCTCTATGCGCGCGTGCTGGGCGCGGGCCTGCTGCCCGCCCTCCCCTCCTCCTCCACTCCGTCCGCTGCTGCTGGAGGGGCAGGGGGAGGAGCAGGAGGAGCAGGAGGAGCAGGAGGAGGAGCGGTTTCGTGGCATGGGACTGGGGAGCAGGAAAGGGGGCGTGCTGGCAGGGAGAGGGGAGCGGGGGTTGGAGGAGGAGGAGGAGGGGGGGGAGCAGGAGGGGGAGGAGCAGGGATGGGCGGGTACCCGGAGGTTAGTTCTGGGGGAGGGTGGATGTCTGAGGCGATGGACGCGGAGGGGGCGTTTTCTAAGAGGCAGAGGCTGGCGCCCACTGCTGCCCAGTTGGCCGCTCATGAGGTGAGTGAGTGGCATGTCTTGTCCTGTAGCTCATGTTACTTTTGTGATTCTTTAAGAGCAAGTTGCAGTGCAGCAGCATAAGTTTTCTGTTTCGTGATCGCCTCAAAAAGTAGCCAGGCCATCAGCCCGCTTTAATATGTTTCGTCTAACTTGCACTTAAGCACTGACCTTGCCACTCGCACGTTGCACCAGCGTTTTCGCTCTCTTTCTTCCTATTCTGTTACCCCTTCCCTTCCCCCCTCCTCTCCTCTTCACCCTCTTCACCCTCTTCACCCTCTTCTCCCTCCCCGTCTCCCCCCCCCTCGCGTCTCCCTTCCCCCTCACTCCCTCTCCCAGGTGCGGGCGACAGAGGGCTTGCGGCGGCTGCTGCGGCGCACAGCAGAGGCCCTACGGCTGCTGCACGTGCTGTCGCAGCACCACGTGATGCGCCTGGTGCGCGCACTGGACCCCTCCTGGCACCCGCTGCTCGCCTCCCTCACCCTGCACCACCTCGTCTGCTCGCCCGCTGGTGACTCCACTGCTTCCCAGCTCATCGCGGCACTGCTGCAGGTTCGGCTTAAGGGGGGGAGGAGGGGGAGGGAAGAGGGGGTGGGTGTTCAGAGGGGTGTACATGGGTGGATATGGGGCGGGGGAAGGTGGGTAGCGAGCCGGTTAACTTGAGGAAATTTGAGTGCTTTCTCAACATCGTAGGAAGCTGGGTGCTGCTGAGAGGGCTACCCTGCCTGTGTGAATCGTCCTCCTCTGCCTTTCTCCTCCCCCACCCTCCCCCCCCGCCCCCCGCCACACAAACCCCCCACACCCCCCCCCCACCTCCCAGTACTACACGACCCCCAGCGTGCGGGGCTCCATGGAGGACATTGAGCCATCACTTCCCCCCACCCACCCCTCTCTGCCCCCTCTTCCCCCCCCCCCCCCCTCTCCCCCCACCCAGTACTACACGACCCCCAGTGCGCGGGGCTCCATGGAGGACATGTGTGCGCGGCTGCGCGCGGACTGCCCGTCGTTCTTCTCGGACGCGGACCAGACCTTCTTCGCCGCCGTGCAGTGCCTCGAGGCCGCGCGCCAGGCTGCTGCTGCGGGCGACGCCGCCACAAGGACGCGCCTGGCGCGCGAGGCCATGGCACTGCTGGCGCGCGTGCCGGAGACCGCGGACCTGCTCTCCGTGTGCCAGCGCTTCGAAGACATCGGGTCAGCCAGGGCGGACTGGGGGGTGGGGGGGGGGCGGGGGGGGAGGAGTTTGGTGTGAAGCGTGAGGGTTTTGCGAGGTTTCAAATTGGTTGCTGGGTGGAGTGAATCTGTCTTTGCTCCCTCAAGACCGTGCTCCTCTCCCTCCACGCCGTGTCCTCCCTCCCTCCCCTCCCCCTCTCTCCCCCTCCCTCTCTCCTTCCCTCCCCTCCCCCTCTCTCCCCCTCCCTCTCTACCTCCCTCCCCTCCCCCTCTCTCCCCCTCCCTCTCTCCCTCCCCTCCCCTCCCCGCTCCTCCCCGCATGCCCACCCATCAGGTTCTACCAAGCGGTGGTGGATCTGCCTCTGCGCAAGGCACGCGCGCTGGACCCCAACAACGACGCCACGAATGGCAGAGTCGACCCCGCTGTCAGAGCAGCTGCTATGCAGGCAAGGCTACACTATCTACCTCCAACAAGCCTTAGTATCTGCTTCCTGCCTAGTAGATCCCTTGGTGGGCTTCATCTGGACGAAGCAAGTGGAGAGGCTCTTTACGGTGTGCTGCTGATACGGCTGCCAGCAGTCATGCTACTCCCCGTACCTCTGTTTATGCCTGCATGATCACGTCTACCAGGATTTGATCGTCCAGAACTTGCTCGGATCTTTCAGATTGTTCTATCCGTTGCATCACCCTACCCACGCCATGCATCACCTCGCCCACGGCAGGCCCGGCAGCAGTGCTATGACGTGGTGGTGGCGGCGGTGCGCTCTCTCAGTGGCCAGACCACAGGGGGGGGCGTGGCGGCACGCCCGCAGTTTGGCGTGCCACGGTACGAGAGAGAAACGAGGCCTTTTCCTGGGGTGGGAGAGGGGAGGGAGTCTTAAGAGATGGTTGCTCTGCTCATTCTGGCGTATCCTCGTTTCCTCGTTCCAACCCCCCAAACCTCACACTGATCAGCATCCATATCCACCTCACTACCCGCCCCTTTCTCCTTCGTCCCCTCCCCCCCCCTCTCCCCCCCTTTCCTCCTCCTTGCTCCCCCGACCCTCAGCCCGCTGGGAGCGGCGGCACTGACAGACGAGGAGCGGGAGCAGCAGCTGGTGGCGGTGGTGCGGCAGGCGGTGGCGTGGGACGACGCGCTGTTCCACCGCCGTCTGTATGCCGCTCTCATTGCGCTCAACCTCGACTCGCTGCTCGTCTCGCTCTCCGCGCCCGATGTCGAGGACTTCCTCCGGACAGGCGGGGGAGATGTGGAGCCTCCCGACGCACAGGTGAGTGCCCTGTTGAGTTGACCCAAAAAGGCTTCCTCAGGACAGCGGGGGGGGGGAGGGGGGGGGGGGGGAGACGTCGAGACTCGAGCCCTCCGCCGCTCAGGTGAGTGCTATGCGGCGCTTGTTTCGGACGAATCGGAAAGAAGAGCAGGTGAGAAAAAAGAAATAGGGGGAAAGCAAGCTCTGGTCAGTACACCTCTTAGGACCCGACCACATCTACATTGTAGGCATCAGGTCAGTTTTGATGCGCCTCAAACCTACTCTCCCTCCCTTCCCCCCCCACACCTTCCACCCTTCCCCACAGCTGCATGTGTGGTGTCTCTCATTGCTCACCTGCTACTAGCGGCGACAGCTCGGTTTTGAGGTGCCTCAAATCTACCCTCCCCTCTACGCCCCACCCCCACCCCACCCTCCGCTCCAGCTGCATGTGCGGTACCTGTCGGTGCTGGCGCGCTACTACATCGAGCGGCGGCAGCACGAGCTGGCAGCGCACGTGCTGCTGAGGCTCGCAGAGAGGCAGCAGGTGGAGGGCGCCCAGCCGGGGCAGCCGGGCTTTCTGTCCCTCGAGGAACGGTGAGCACGCAAATGCTTCTCAGTATCGCTGGATTTATTGTACACAGCACAGTGCACAGTGTTCTCTCTTGCGCGAATGCTTCTCAGTAGCGCTGATTCCTTGTACAGCACAGTGTTTGCTCGCCTTCTCAGCCGTTGATGCTGGTGTTGTACAAGGTCTGTACTTCTCTAACAGCAACAACCGTCAGCATCATCTCGTCTCTCCCCTCCCCCCTCCTTACGTTCGGCCTATACCCTTTGCACTCGTTTGATGAGCTCTCTCCCCATCTCACATCTCACCTCACCATCTCTCCCCCCTCCCCTCCCTCCCCCCTCGTTCCTCTCCCCCCACAGGTGCAACCTCCTGAGTGCAGCAGTGCTGCAAGCAGCAGCCATCAGCAGCAGCGGGGGCAACGCAGCAGCAAGTGGAGGGGCGGGCGCAAGAGGGCGAGCAGTAGCAGGGGCCGGCGGAGGTGGTGGAGGGGAGAAGGAGGTGGCACGGCTGCAGACGGTGCTCAAGGACAAGCTGGCGGTGCTGCAGTTTCAGATCCGCATCCGAGACCATCTGCTCGCTGTCGCCACCAGGTGAGCGCGAGACAGGAGGCAAGGCTTCGTGTCTGGCTTGGCGTCTGCCTTGGCGTCTGGCTTCGCGGCTGGCTTGTTCTGATGGGTGCGAAATGCCGGTCTGTGAAGCTCCTGCTGCCCCAGGGTCCTTTGCCTCCCGACCCCTCGCGTGCTGTGGCCTCAACACAGTCTAGCCCCAGCTTTGCTTTGCTGCATACTGACCCGCGTTCCGTTGCTCCCTACTGTGTGACACCAATACGTCGCCTCCCAGGTTTGATGGCCAACCGTCAACACAGCAAGAAGCAGCAGCAGCAGCAGCAGCAGCAGCAGCGGGGGGTGCTGGAGCAATGGAAGAAGGAGTAAACGGAGCAGCAGCAGCTGCAGCAGCGGCAGGAGTAGGTGGAGGGGGAGAGGGGGAGGTGCGGCGGCGGGCGGAGGTGGCAGCAGCGGAGCTGCAGAGGGAGGTGCGGAGCATCACGGACCTGTACAACGACTATGCCGTGCCGTTCCAGCTCTGGGAGGTGAGTCACTGGAGGAGAGGAGACTCGACAACTGTGGTCGTTGCTGTTTTCACGCACCCACCTCACGGCACACACACAGAGGCATGCGTGCATGAAGCAACTGCTGTTGTGCCAGGTGTTTTTGAGAAATCTCAAAAAGCGAACTCATCTCCCTCACCTCCCGCCCCCCCCCTCTCCTCGCCCGCAGGTGTGTCTCGAGATCCTTCGCTTCTCCAGCTACGCCAGCGATGGCAGCAACGGTGTGGAGCGCGCCATGTGGCGCAATCTCATCGAGCAGGGCCTGCAGCAGGGCGGCATTGCAGAGGCATGCGAGCGGGTGCAGAGAGTGGGCGCCTCGCTCTCCATGCGTGGCAGCGGTGGTGCTGGCGGTGCTGTTGGTGGTGGCGGTGGCTCTGGAGGCACCGGGGGCAGTCTCCCTCTGGAGTTCCTCTGCCTGCTGCTGGAGCAAGCAGCACAGGTGCGTTGATGGGTGGAGAGGGAATAGGGCGAGACGGGGAGGGGAAGGGCAGGGATACGGCGAGAGGGAGGAGAGGAGAGGAGAGGAGGGGAGGGGAGGCAAGGGTTCCAGTTTTTCCCCTTGTTTGCTATGCTCATCATTCTCACCTCACCTCTCCACTCTCCATACTCCTGCCCTCTATACTCCTGCCCTCTATACTCCTGCCCTCTATACTTCTGCCCTCCATCCCCTCCAGCATCGTTCCACATTGTTTCAAGTGACAATCCCAACACCACCGTCCCCACCACCCCAACCACTCCCATCCCCCAACACACTCCCCATGCACCCTCGCAATCAGGATCTCGAGGCGAGAGGCGAGTCCTCCAACGACGAGATCCCGCGCGCCCTCATCTCCGCGTGCGCGGGCGCGTACGAGCCCGTGGCCGCAGCTTACTCGCAGCTGCTCTCGCGCGCCGCCGGCCCCCTCTGCCAGCCCTCCCTGCGCCTGCGCTTGCTGCTGTCTGTGCTCGCCGTGCTCAAGCAGTGGGCCGCGGCACTCGTGGATGCCGATGGGGGGCTCGGAGGGGATGGCGGTGGGAGGGGGAAAGCAGGAGGCATGGAAGGGCCGGAGTTTATGGCCATGGATGGGCGCATGGGAGACGGGATGAGCGCACGGGCTTCCAGGGCTGTGCTGGTCAGCGCATGCAGTCGGTACAGCCTCTCTCTCTCTCTCCCCTAGCTGGTTGTTCTCCTGCACTTTCCTCCGTCTCCCTCCCCCTCTCCCCCCCCCCCCCCTTCCTTCCTCTCCCCCCCTCTGCTCTTCCTCTCTATTTTCTTCTTAACCTTAATGAATGTGTCGCTGTCTCTGTCTCCATTTCCTGAGGCGCCTAAATGAATAGACTCGGTGGTCCTGCCTCCTCCATTTTCCTCTCCCCTTGTCACCTTCCATGCCCTCTGTCCCCCTCCCCCTTGTTAAATCCGGGCACTTCCCCTGCTCCCCCATCCCGCCTGGGCTTGATTCCTTGCGTGCGTTCGTGCATGCGTGTGTGTGTGCGTGCGTGCGTGGGTGCGTGCGTGCGTGGGTGCATGCGTGCGCGTGTGTGTGTGTGTGCTTGTCTTGGGTGCAGGTACATGGGCGAGGTGCGCCGACTGCCGTTGCCCCAGGACACAGCGGACCAGCTCATAGCAGAGCTGCGCCAGGTGGAGGCAGCAGTGCAGCGCCCACTGCCCTTCTTCGGCTGACCCTTCACCACACTCCACCACTCTTGACCTTGCTCAACCCCTGCACTACTGATGCTCAACTGTTGCTTTTGGGATTGGTCCCCTTGATCCGAGTTTGGACCCGTTTTTGTATGCTTGCGGCTTGGCGGCATACAAGCTGCCGTGCGAAGTCATGGTTCTCATTGGTCTTTCAGTCAATTTGGAGAAAACAAACAGTATATAGCTGCTATGTGCCGGATAGTCGTACGCCTGCTTGTTTGGAGTAACCTGACATGCTTTGATTGACAAGCAGCTGCTAGAAGCTTCACATGGCACCATCCATTAGTTTCTCTGTTTTTTTAGCCTGTGGTTTTAACTTTGCACTGCTTGACTAGACCTACAGTCCTTTCTGCTGTGCAGTGCTGCTGTGGCACTTAAAGCCCAGATCCCAAGTTACAAGTTGCGAGTTGTTTTGCTAGCAAAGTCGGGGCGCAAAAAAGAAGTTAACCCCGAGATGATGTCAATATATATTTGTGTGATAATAGGCTGGATAGGTGCATGCTCATAGAGGGTACAACCCCTAAGAACAAAACCACCCTGTATCTCTCATGCTAACTCATTGCGTTATTCTGAGATGGTATCAGATCAAGCTAGGATACTGCAGGTCCCCCCCCCCGCTTACGCTTCCACCCCTAGCCCTAGCCCGTGTCCTAGCCGTGCCCTAGCCCTAGCCGTGCCCTAGCCCTAGCAGCCCTAGCCGCGCCCCAGCTCTCGTCGGCCCCTGCTCGCTGGCCCTTGCTCGCTGGCCCCTGCTCGTCGGCCCCAGCCCGCGCCGGCCCCAGTCCGCGCCGACCCCAACTCTCGCCGACCTCTGCTCGCTGGCCCCTGCTCGCCGGCCCCTGCTCGTGGGCCCCTTCCGCGCCGGCCCCAGTTGCCGTCAGCCCTAGCCAAGCCGCGCCGCTGAACCACCGAGTCGCCGAGCTGCCGAGCCACCGAGCCGCCGAGTCGCCGTGCTACCAGGCTGACCTGCCGATCTTAGCTTCCCCTCGGCGCCGACACTCCCACCGGCCGTCTCCACCGCTCTCCACCGCTCTCCATCGCTCCCCACTGCTCCCCACCGCTCCCCACCGCTCTCCACCGCTCTCCACCGCTTTCCACCGCTCCCCACCGCTCTCCTCCTCCTCCAGCGGTAGTCATCTCCTACAGCTGTGGTGATGGCGGACGCTGTGCTCTGCTTGGACGCGGAGGGTCACGCCGTTGATTTTGAGGCGTGGCTCGTCGACCTCCGCCGTCAGCGGATAAGATGCCGTCATTGCGCGCTATTCCACTCCCTCCTCCACCTCTACCGGCCGTCTTATCCTCCCCATGCTATTCTCCGATGTTGCGTCCTTCTCCATTGTAGCTGATCTTGTCACTCATCTACGCGCCCTTGAGACTAGCTACCGCGCTGCTAGCACTGAGGCCCAGCTCGCTGCATTCCCTCCTCCCCTCTGCGCTACCCTGTACCTCATTGCCACACGCCATCCTGACCGCCTCGCCACTACCCGCGACCACTTCCTTAACCAGCACCGATGTGACCTCACCCTTACTGCCTTTGTCACCACCCTGTCTGCGATAGAGACCCGCCAGCGCACTATCGCTCAGTCTAGCGGTACTGCGGCGGTCTCTATCTTCCAGGGTTATGCTCCCTTCCTGTGCAACTACTCTGACGTTTCTGCCGCTGTCGCTGAGACAGCCCCTGCTGCTGAGACTGTCGCGGTGGCGGCCTCAGTGCAGCCTCGCAAGTGTAAGGGTCGGCGCCCCAAGGGAGGGCGTGGCGGAGAGAGGGGTGCTGGGGGTGGCGGTGGTAGTAATGGTGGTGCGAGTGCTGACAGTACCGACGAGGGGACCGGGGCTGATCCCCTGGAGCAGCAGCAGTAGCAGCAACAGCAGTCGCAGGAGCAATAGCAGCAGCAGGCGTTGGGTCGCCTCTCGCCAGGGTGGCCCGACGGCTCTGGTGGTGGTGGCCGCGGTGGTGGCCCTCGCAGCTCGGCGTCGGGTGGCAGCTTCAGCTCTGTGGGTTGCCAGTACCAGCTCCAAACTGGTCCACTTCGTGGTATTGTGTGTAGCCGTCCAGGTCACACTGCCACCCGCCTCGACGACCTCTTCCGTCTCCGCTTCGGCCCTGCTGCTGGCCCTCCCCGACTGGCCCAGTCTCGTACATCGCCGTGTGCCGGTCTTTGAGATGGATATGGATCAGATTTTCTCTGCATTGTATGCCTTGTATGCTGATGACTCTAGTGTGACTGGATCCTATAATCCTGTGTTTCCTAATATAGGTGTGCCCCCTGTGTGTAGTCTAGGCTTCCCTGCTGCACCAGGCGTAGGACCTCTTGCTTTGTTAAGCCAAACTCCACGCTGACCCTACCACCGGCTGACGCTACTGCCGCGCTCTCTTTCACGCTAGACTCTGGTGCATGTGCCTGCTTCTTTCGCGACCACACCGCATTCACGCCGACCGCGCTCACGCCGCTTGCCGCCCCTACAGCTGTCGCGCTTGCCGACCCCTCCTCTGGTCCGGTAAGTGCGCATAGCTCCACCACCCTTCCCTGTCAGGCGGTTCCCTCGGGCTCTCTTACCGGCCTGCACATCCCTATGTTCTCCAGAAACCTAGTTGGTGTCGGGTGTCTTCAGGACCTCGGCGTCACCACTACGTTCCCCGGACACGAGCGGTATGCGGTCTGTACCGAGGCCGCCACTGGTGCCCCCCTTACCACGTTCCCCCAAGACCTGGTATCTGGCCTATTTACGCTTGACACCGCGTCCCCCCAGGTGGGGGTGTCTCCCCACGTGGCTGCACCTGCGAAGGGTCGCTGCGGTTCGCTCGTGTCTGTGGCACCACCGCCTATGTCACTTGTCACTCCCACGTCTGCGTCACATGCCTCAGCATGGTCTTGTCTCAGGCCTCCCTGTGTCGCTCCCTGTTCTCCCTCCCTCCCCTGCGCCGCCGTGCACACCCTGTGTCGAGGGCCAGCTGCATCGTGCTCTTCACTCCTCCTTGCTTCCTCCTACCACTGCGCCACTCCAGACCATGCACTTGGACGTCAGGGACCCAACCCCTGTCCCTACGCAGCGTCGAGAGCGCTACTTTCTAGTGCTTGTCAACGACTACACGCTCTACACCACGGTGTTCCCTTTGGGAACAGAAAGCTGATGTACTTGACATTCTTATCTGGTGGGTCGGAGCTGCGCGAGTCCACCGCCGCCTCCCTGTGCTGCGTCCTTACTCCGACCAGGGCGGCGATTCGCCTCCAATCGGCTTGGCCAATTCTGTTATGCAGAGGGCATCACCTTGCCGTACACCCTGCCGGACTCCCCACAGCAGAATGGGGCCGCTGAGCAACGCATTGGTTTGGTCATGGAGGTGGCTCGTACCTCCATGATCCATGCCGGTGGCTATTCGCTAAGCCGCTCACCAGCTTAACTTGTGGCCACACTCCCAGCGGCCGCAGGTTTCGCCGACCCTCCTCTAGACCGGGTCCCCCCGTGACGCGGCTGCATTCCACGTCTGTGGTTGCCTCGCTCACGTTCGTGCCTCCGGCACGGACAAGCTCACTGCCCGCACTGTCCCTTGTTTCTTCCTTGGCTTCCCCCTAGACGCTTTTGACTGGCACTTTTACCTCCCGCCATCTCACCGTTTCTTTCAATCTCGCGACGTCACTTTTGACGAGTGTGTCTCCTTCTACACCCGCTTTTCCCACCGAGGTCTCCCGGTTACCCCGCCTTTGTTTCTGGTTACCACTCCCCTAGTAGCCCCTGCTCCTCTCCCTCCCTGTCCTGCCCCATCTAGTGTGTCTCACGTCACTCCCCTCCCGTCGGTTGTCCCGGTAGAGGAGTCGGCTGACTCTTCGGGCCCTACAGCTCTGGTTTCGCCACCTGTCTCCACCCCGGTGTCTCCTCCTTCGCCGCCGCAGCGGCAGCCGCCGTCGCAGCCGCAACAGTAGTCATAGTCGCCGCTGCCATAGCAGTAGTCACTTCAGGGGGCTGCCAGCTCTGGAGGTGCAGGCATTGATGAGGGTGCTAGTCATGGGGATATTGTCGTGGCTTGTCCCAGTGGTCCTGGGGGTGGCACTGGTGCTGGCACTGGTGCAGGAGAGGGTTCTCATACTGGGGGTGCTGGTTCTGGGGGTGCTAGTCTTGAGGTTACTATCGTGGCTTATCCTGGCAGTCCTAGGGGTGGCACCGGTGCTGGAGAGGGTTCTCGTTCTGGGGGTGCTGTCGTGGAGCATCCCGGAGGTAGCTGTGATGCGGCTGGAGGTTCTGACGTCGGCATAGAGCAGCAGCAGCGATCGCTGCCCATGTCCGCCCTTCGCCTCATGGGTCTCCCCTCCCATGACTGCCCGCCTGCGCCTCCCCCGCCTGTCTACGTCCCTGTGTTTCCTCCGCCAGACTCGTCCCTGGCTCGTTTCCCCCCTCGTTCTCCTCCTGTGTCTCCTGACCCGACCCCCCCCCTCCCGCTGGTGGTCTCACCGTGCCTCTCGTGCTCATCCCCTTTCCCCTGTCCAGCGCTCTCACCCTATGTTGCTCCACTCTCACGCGTCTCGTGCTCCTCTTCTCCCCTCGTCATCGCTTGTTGTCTCTACGCCTCCTCTCTCAGACTTCCTCCGTGCCACTAGTCCACTTATTCCTCGTGTTCTCGCCTCTTTGGTTACTGAACCGTCCGTTCCTATCTCTAGTCTTGATGCACTTGTCGCTGCTATCGCTGGCTTTGCCTCTACCCGCTGCCTTGACTATGCCACAGCTCTGGTCTTTGACCCTGCCCGTCCTCCGTCCATCCGGGGTGCACCTGCCCTCGGCAGTGACGTCCTAGAGGACAAGCAGTATGAACTAGCTTTCCCGTCCGATGACGCTCCCCATCTCTGCTCCATGCCGCTAGTCCCTGAGGTTGACCCAGACGCCCTTGACATCCCTACCCCTCGCACTTACGCTGAGGCGACCTCGGGACCCTGAGCCTTTCGGTGGATAGTTGTCATGGACGCGGAGATGGCATCTTGGAGATGTATTGGCACCTATGTCAAGGCAATTCCCCCACTTGGGGTGAACGTAGTCGATGGCCGGTGGCTCTTCAAGGTGGAGCGCCCTCCTGGAGAGACGCCGGTGTTCAAGGCGCGCTACGTTGCAAGAGGCTTCAGTCAGTGCGAGAGTGTTGACTTCTTTCAAACCTACTTCTTGAAGAGCAAGGGGTCAGCAGACGATGGGAAGAACTACAAAGTAGCAAGTGTAGCACGCAGCGTGTCGTGCCACTAACGAGGCGCCTGTCGCAAATCGTGGACGGGGCGCCGGAGGAGCCACTCGGTACCAGGGGGAAAGGTACCGGAGAAGCCCTGGGG